AGCAAACAAATATACTCTGTAAGTAAAATAAATAAAAAATCCACAAATCTGTATTCAGATCTACAACTACTGAGATTTACAAATCTGTATTCAGATTTACAAATCTGTAGTAAGATTTGCAAATGTGTAGAACAATCTGTAAGTACACACAGAGACACTGTGTCCGAAGTATTTTCGCTTCAACACCCAGAAATACAGACACATCATTGGTTACAAGTCCAGCGGTTTCTCGGTTGGCTCTCTTTACACACGTGATTTTTGCTACACTTCTGCCGTGTGAGATGCACAAATGCGTAAAAGGATTTGTATCTGTAAAATCTGTAATACAGATTTGTGGATTTTTTACACATTTACAAATCTCAGTACATATTTGTAGATCTGAATACAGATTTGTGGATTTTTTACACATTTGCAAACCAGATTACACACACAAGTAGTTTTGCACATTTAAAGATTGTTGTACAGACACAAATCTCCTCACACATTTACAGTTTCATTTACACATTTTCAAATCCCCCTGCACACGCACAAATCGAGATACAGATATACAACTCTCCACACACATTTGTAAATAATAAAGCAACAATTTTGGCCCCATAGAAAAGTAAAGTCTTGAATTAAAAACATGAGTAATTTAACGTCTGGGATGTTTGAGACATAAACGTTAACATCAGCCCAAAATAAAGTCAATTTAAGACAAGACCAAGTAACGTTAACTTAAGTGGTCTCGAAAACAGACAGCTACACGACAGGAGAATAACAGCCATAATCGAAAAACAAGTAAGCTTTCCTTCTTTTCCTCGCCTCTTGCTACAGCTAGCCACAAACAAACAGGGTGGTTTGTACTGTAAAAGTGATGAGGCTTGTTTTATTGTGTTTAACCGGGGCTTCTTCTTTATGCCTCAACGTTCTTGTCTCAGCATTCATAGTTGTGTAAAAAATGTTAGCGTCCATTTTGAGCAGGTCGACATACATACATACATATAGATATTGTATCAGCCAGCTAGTATTAGAATTTCAAATAAAGTGAACGCTTGCTAACCTAACGTCACTTGAGTTACTTGCTAGAAAAATGCTAGAGAATCAAGTCATGGTAATTGTAAGCTAGCAGGAGGACAAATATAACTGACCATTAACATACACTTAATAAAGACAACAAACAACAAATAGCTTTTGATAACAACAAAAATAGGCATTTACCTCTATATGCTTTTTCAGATTTGATGGTGAATTCTTGAAAGCCAGCAGTTCATGGTGTTTTGGTTGGCACAATTTGCAGCACATTCGCCAGGAGTCATTCTTGATGCCTACTAATCAAACATCTCTTTCAGATAAGGCCAAGGGTGATCGGGAATGTCTTGCTGCTTTTCTGCCGAATCTCTGGGATCTCCGTTGTTTTCACTTTCCATCCTCTCGTCGTCCATACTTCTATGCTAATGCATACGCTAACGCTACTGCTACCGCCACCAAGCTGCAATGATTTGCCGCGAATGAATACTGCCGAATCTGCGGATTCATCTTGCAGTGGTGCGTCAAAAGCAACGTCGATTCCCATCCAATTATATTGAATTTGGTATTGATGACGTGAAAAATAATAACTGTAACTCCATTGAAATGATTCAAAACTAAAGTAACAAGCCAATTTTTTAAAATGTGAGGAGTAGAAAGTACAGATATTTGTGTAAAAATGTAAGGAGTAGAAGTAAAAAGTTGCCATAAAAATAAGTAGTAAAGTAAAATAAAAATATCAGAAAAATCTACTTTAGTACAGTAACGAAATATTTGTACTTCGTTACTTCCCATCTCTGGCGAGCCCCAGGGCAGCTGTGGCTACAGTGTAGCTTGCCAGTTATCAGTGTGTGCATGAATGGGTGAATGATTGAATGTAGCGCAAAGTGCTGTAGTCAAGTCTCCTAACTTGAAAAAGAGGTATATAAGTGGTGTTTGGTAGTTTCAACTGAGATAGTTTTCTATTTTGTACTGATCCTAACTGACTTAATCAATTATGTCCAGCAAGCCATACTTTTTAATTAAAAGCATAAGGAGCAAGCCATGCTCTTACAATGATCGGTCAGTCTTTTGCTCCGACAACACCTCTCACCTCTCCGATGCCCACCTCTCCCCCCTTCACCTCTCAAATGGATTATACAAAAAACTGTCATGTTTCATGCAGAAAGAGGGTTGTCAACCGGTAAATGAGGAGTTGTGCATGTGCAGGAGCAGATTCATGAGTCTGTGTTCACTGATTTGTCGTTGTAGTGGAGAAATTGAACCAAGTTAAACACAATCCAAACATAACATGAAATATATATATATATTTAAAAAAAAACTGTTTTCTCACCCCTCGTGGGGTGGTATGTGTCATCCTCAAGCTCGGGTCCTCTACCAGAGGCCTGGGAGTTTGAGGGTTCTGCGCAGTATCTTAGCTGTTCCTAGGACTGCGCTCTTCTGGACAGAGACCTCTGATGTTTTACCTGGAATCTGCTGTAGCCACTCTCCCAGTTTGGGGGTCACAGCCCCTAGTGCTCCAATTACCACTGGCACCACTGCTGCTCTTACTTTCCACATCTTTTCTAGCTCCTCCTTCAGTCCTTGGTATTTCTCAAGCTTCTCGTGTTCTTTGTTCTTGATGTTGCTGTCGCTTGGGATTGCCACATCTATCACTACTGCTATATATATATATATATATATATATATATATATATATATAAAAAACTTCAGGTAGAATTTTTATGCACAACCTCAGATAGATTTTTGTAGGTTTCTGTAAAATGCTGTGCAAGTTAGCACAGACGTTCACATCTAAAATGCAAGGAGGATATTTTAAAACATATCTATATAGAGGTCTTTAATGGAGGTACTGCAGGTAGGTCGGGAGTTTTGGCCAGTGCAGTCCATGACAGATGACACCACTGTAATTGGTCTGATTCAGAAGAAAAATCTAATCAAACAATAACAGAAAAAAATTCAGAAAAGTACTTTTTTGGGTATTTTCTTTACATTGGTTTGAAAATTATGTACACACGTAATGCTATACTAGCAGTAGCTCTTAGAATGGTTAGAACAGCTGTTTAGTCCACAGCCAGTGGCCTACCAGATTAATCATGTGAAAAGTTACATTAAGCCCCTAAAAAAGGAAAAAGGCTACAACCAGGTTTCCTAGATCATATCAAAGCAGCCAAAGTCAATCACTATATTGGAAGTGGATTAACCCCAGCTGACATCAGCAGTAAATCCTGAAAGCTGACTCCAAATAGGTCAATCATAAACTAAAGCTTACTGCCTATTCACCAAGCAAGCCAAGAGGTGGTAGTTTACGTTAATAATCATTACCAGAGGGCAGAGGGACCTGGTCTACAACTAAACTTTAGGGCTCTGGCTGGAATGGAAACAGTAGGAACCACTTAATTCAGTCTCTACATGGATTTGCATCATGATGTGAAATTGATCTGGTCCATAGTTCAGTTAAAATCAAAGTATGTATTCCTAAAATAATTCAAGACCATAAAAGGTCAATTTCAACCCTGAGCCTCATGGCCCACTGTCCAGCATGTTTTAGGTGCTCCACTACCTCCACATACCTGACTTAGATGATACCTGCTGAGGTTGAAATGCAATCTTTTGATTAAGGTGAGCTGAAGCAGAGAAATCTAAAATATGCGGGGCAAGCAACTCTGAGACCAGGGTTGAAGACCTCTCCCCTAGGCCACCACATCACTTTAGGCTGTCCAGCTCTACATTTTGAAAGAGAGGTTTTGTTTAATAAAGCATAAATATATATTGGATTCAGCAAAACCTAATAATATGTGAAAAGCAAGACCCTCTTCCACATTTTCTGTGCTCATCCTTAACACAGCACCGAATTGTTTAAAGGTGCCTCATTGAAAAATGAATAGGGAATAGAAATTAACTTCTAATGCAACGCTTATATTTTACAGTTTATTTTTCCAAAAATGTGCAACATGTTAAAATCACATAGACTAGACTAATGAAAAAATTTATCAGTTTTGCTGTGATAAAAAAAACTAAGTCAAAGGCGATGCTCTTACATGTTTAACTCCAGAAGTCAACATCTTTTCCTCCACAAAAAAAACTGTAGTAAAGACTTATTATACAATTGGCTTAAATGTTCAGTTGAGAACAGTGTGCTCTGTAAAATGTTTTATTTATTGAGGGGAAAAAAAGTTTCCTCACAAGAGTCAGATTTTACTGGAATACAGAGGAATGGCTCCATACTCCCTATTTCACAGTATCACAGCATAAAAATCATGGGAGACCCACAGAATCTTTCACACTCGGGGCCTATCGTGACAGACTTGGTGAAGTGCCCTGAGACAAAGCCTGGGGCCTTAAAAAAAAAGAGAAAATTGCCATTATTTGGAATTCTATTACTGTAAGTTGTTTTTCTACTGTTTCAGTTGTTTTTTGTAAAAAAAAAAACCCTGATATCAGCATAGTTGCTGAAATCTGGAGAGTAAAACTGTGTAATAGAAATTGCTGTCCATAAACTTTCAATTTGTTTTAAAAAGTTTAATGTTATGGTGGTGTCATAACATCTGATGACTTCATTTACATTTGTTTGTTTAACATGCAGGTTTTCTTTTACAGACAAGAAAAAAAAATTTCGAACAAGGTCAAATGTTAGGTATGAAATTATTGTTCAATATGTAAAATCATGAACCAATACAACTCAGAAATCTATAAATACCCAATAGAAACTCCATATTAAGACCCTTAAAACAAAGCAATACACAAGGTTTATAAATTGTTATCATCTTGTTTTTATTTTTTGGAATCATACTAAAAAAATTTCAAGCAAAACAACTTTTAAATTTGCCCATTAATGTTTGCCTTTCAAAGATTTTAACAATTTGGGACTTTCCACACAGTACTCCCTTCAGTCCAGAGTGAATTGAAAACATTTTTATACTCTGTAATAAAAAACAAAAAAGACTAAACATGAAACATGTACTTCAAGGTCATGTTTCTTATTTTGTATTATTAGAATTCTGCTTTTTAATATTGTGATTGTATTTTAAAAATAACAAATGGATAAATGCATTGTGGGATCTGAGTGAAATTCAGGTTACTCTCTTCTTAAATATATCCAGGAAAGTTCTTCGTATTTCACTAGTATACAGGCCATACACAATAGGATTAATAAGTGGAGGTAAAAGAAACATTAGCATCCCCATTACCTTTTGTAAATCAGTAGAAATGTTTTTGAATCTATGCGATAAAACTGTGAAAGTTCCTGCAACCTCAAATATGAGAAGAATAACCAACTGTGCAACACAAGTGTTTACTGCTTTTGTCTTAGTGTCAGATTGCTTCCTACTCAAACATGCAATCAGAATTTTAAGGTAAGAGTATGCCTGAATAGACATACAAAGAACTTGTATGAAAGCTGTGATAAACAGACCAATTACGTTATTGACAGCTGTGTTTCCACACATGAGCTTCACAAGAGATGGGTTGTCACAAAATACGTTCAGTATTACAGATCTACACCTCGTGAGCCTTGACTGAAGAGAAAAGAGGGATAGGATAAAGACAAAGTCACAACCCCAAACCAGGCAGATAATAAGAGCAATAATTCTTGGAGTCATGTAAGAGCTGTACCGTAGAGGCATACAAATGGCAATGTAACGGTCAACGGACATTGCTGCGAGAACAAACAGAATTCCACCAGCACACATGTGGAGAAGAAAAGCTTGTAGAACACAGAGAGGATAGGACACTATATGAGTCTCTGTAACAATATTTGAAAGTATTTTTGGTAGCATTGCTGTTATTCCTATCAGATCATTGAGGGGCAGACTAATCAGTATAAAATACATGGGCTTGTGAAGATTTTCCTTAAGAATAATCAAAGACATCAAAGTCAGATTGCAGGACATTCCAAACAAGTAAATAGCTAGTCCAAAAAAAAACACTGGATACTTTCCTCCAGGTGGAATGAAAAAAGTATCCAGGGTTAGCTGAGAACTAATTCCAAATGAGCTGTTTTCCATTTTTAATGAAGTTGAATGAGAAAGGAGATGATCACCAACACCTAGTACTGAAAATAAAGCAACATTTGAAGTTACAGCAGATACAACTCATGTTTTAATCAACTGTAGAATAAACTGCTAACTGATCTGCATCGCTTGCTTTATTGTTTCTCCTGTGCTTGTTTCGGTCACCTTAGGGATTGGTTCAGTGGCTTGCAGAACAAACAGCAACATAACAACTGAAATGCTTAAGATGACAAGTTCTCCAACTTTTTATGACAACTATAAGATCTAAACTATTTTTCAAAGACTTTTTAAAACAGTTGTAGCACAACTATAAATTGACATTGAATGGTTTATTAAAGGATTTAGATTAAATTTATTCACTGATAAATGATGCACCATAATTGAAACACTAAACAAACTTAAAGTTGAATACAGTTGAATGTTCAACTAACTTTTGTGTTTTTTATTGTGAAATGCAGGAAATTAACTTTTGGAGTTGGCTTTTGAGATAGAGGCAATTTTTTTCTAATGTTCCATTTAATCAATACAAAGTACTATTTAAGAGGTGCTTCTATTTAAAATAGAAGTTTATGTTCTATGACAATAAAATCTTGGGGTGGCCTACTGGTTAGTGAGCAGAGCATTTGCTTCTCTAAGCCGCTGTAAAGGTAGGAGCTTTGAAACTCAGATTGTTAGTGTCCCAAAAACAAAAAGGTTGAGGTAACAATAGAGATGACAAATTTCCTCACTATAGGACAATACACTCTAAATAAAAAGTATAATTCTGAAGTTCAAGACTTTTAGTTTAATAATTTCCTTTTCACCACTACTTACAATAACATACAATTCCAAGTTTTGCAAACTTAAAAGGCAAAATATAATGATTAAACTAAATTCTAAACCTAAACATTTTTGGTTCTGTCAACTTTCCCTTTTTTGTTTCATTTGATGTCAGAATTTAAATTTAAGTTAAATCAGTGTTCACAAAGTGCTGTAACTATTTGGGAAAATAATGTACAGGACACAGAGGGTTAAACAAAAAAGTTCAAAATACAAACTACAAAAAGTTTAAATAGATTAAAAGTATAAAATAAAGGATGGATAAAATGAAAGAAGGACTAAAAGAGAAGAGTAAATAAAAGCCAATCTGTCAGAAAATACAAAAAACCTTTGCAAAAATGTGTGTGTCTGAGATTGTTTTTAAACTTTCAGAGGGATGTACGGTGGCTGAGAAGTGCAAAACACATTTACAATTCAAAAACACATTAACAAATAAAAAACAAAATAACATTTGAAGAAACAAAATTATATTTTACGAAACAATTTATTTTTGAAAAAAAAGTTACAATTCTTAAAAACACATTTACATTTTAGCAAACAAATTTACATTAACAAATAAACAAAATAACATTTGAAGAAACAAATTTATATTTTATGAAACAAATGTATTTTTGAAAAAAAAGTTTAAATTTTTAAAAACACATTTACAATTCAAAAACACATTAACAAATAAAAAACAAAATAAAATTTGAAGAAACAAAATTATATTTTATGAAACAATTTATTTTTGAAAAAAAAAGTTTAAATTTTTAAAAACACATTTACATTTAAGGAAACAAATTCACATTTTAAATAAGTTAGATTTTAGGTGAGAGAAAGTTTCATTTTAGAGAAAAAAAAAACATTATAGGGAAACAAATTTACATCTAAAAAAAAATTGACCGTTCGGAAACACTTGTACAAGTGCAAAGACAAAACTGCAAGTGGCAAAACACATTTACATAGCCAAAAACAAATTAACAAAAGACGGCTACACGGAAAGGGAATGTCCCAGTGGCCGGATGTGACGTCACGATTACCCTGACTTGTAGTACAAACAGCTCAATCTGTAGTCCTCCTGCTTCACGTGAAAAATCAGCGGCGATTTTAGATGGAAAGAATTGCACTGAAGCTGTTTTTCTTAAGTTTACGCTAACCGAACAATGTTTTCAGCCAATTTACACCATTTTGTTCTTCGTGCGGACGGTCTCTGGAACTTTTACGGGACACGGTACAAGGTGGCAGGACCAAGCAGCAGAGCCGAGCTCAATTCGTGGCAGTGGCTGCGGCAGAGCCTGCCATCGGAGAGGCCGATGGTGGCCGCTGCCGGCAGAGCTTGCCATCGGAGAGGCCGATGGTGGCTGCTGCCGGCCGAGGCCACTTATTCGCAGATAAAGTACTCCGTTCCATCAAGTAAATGTGACATTATAAAAGTTTTAATGCAGTTTATTAAGCACTAACATCACAATAAAAAGAAACCCGTAAAGAATACATTTTAATACAGGTTATTAAGCGATAACATCACAATATATAGCCTATATATATATATATATATATATAAAACAATCTAGTTAGAAGTACTATAAATAAGGCATTTGCCGAAAAACCGCAGGAAAAATACCAAAAAAATAATTAAATACCAAAGAAAAGTAATTAAAAAACTACATGACAAAATAATAGTGGCTCCGGCCAGTAATACGCCCGGCTCTGCTGCTTGGTCCTGCCACCTGGTCCGTGTCCCGTAAAAGTTCCAGAGACCGTCCGCACGAAGAACAAAATGGTGTAAATTGGCTGAAAACATTGTTCGGTTAGCGTAAACTTAAGAAAAACAGCTTCAGTGCAATTCTTTCCATCTAAAATCGCCGCTGATTTTTCACGTGAAGCAGGAGGACTACAGATTGAGCTGTTTGTACTACAAGTCAGGGTAATCGTGACGTCACATCCGGCCACTGGGACATTCCCTTTCCGTGTAGCCGTCTTTTGTTAATTTGTTTTTGGCTATGTAAATGTGTTTTGCCACTTGCAGTTTTGTCTTTGCACTTGTACAAGTGTTTCCGAACGGTCAATTTTTTTTTAGATGTAAATTTGTTTCCCTATAATGTATTTTTTTTCTCTAAAATGAAACTTTCTCTCACCTAAAATCTTAACTTATTTAAAATGTGAATTTGTTTCCTTAAATGTAAACGTGTTTTTAAAAATTTAAACTTTTTTTTTCAAAAATAAATTGTTTCATAAAATATAATTTTGTTTCTTCAAATATTATTTAGTTTTTTATTTGTTAATGTTTTTTTGAATTGTAAATGTGTTTTTAAAAATTTAAACTTTTTTTTTCAAAAATACATTTGTTTCATAAAATATCATTTTGTTTCTTCGAATGTTATTTTGTTTATTTGTTAATGTAAATTTGTTTGCTAAAATGTAAATGTGTTTTTAAAAATTGTAACTTTTTTTCAAAAATAAATTGTTTCATAAAATATAATTTTGTTTCTTCAAATGTTATTTTGTTTTTTATTTGTTAATGTGTTTTTGAATTGTAAATGTGTTTTGCACTTCTCAGCCACCGTAGGGATGAGAGCTGTCTAACATCTGATGGTGGCTCTTTCCACATCTGCAGAGCAGCTACAGTAGAGAGAAAGGAGCCCACATAGGTAAGGAAGTGCCAATCCATTGAGAGATCTAAAAACAAACAGAAAAATACAACAACTTTGAAATGCACACTGAAATGCACTGGTAATCAGCAGAGCAATGTTAAACAGGGGTGATTTGAACAGACTTCCCTGCTGGAGTTAGGAGTTGAGCTGCATCATTTTGAACAATGCAAACGCTTAATAGATGTGTTACTAATTCCTAAATATCATGCATTACAGTAATCCAGTCTGGATAAAAAAAATAAATATATATATATATATATATATATATATAGAAAGGCTGCAAATAATGAGTAGTTGAATCTGAATCAACCAGTGAAATTTTTTTGTGTCAGGGGAGTCCAGGTTATGTTTTAACAACAAAAGTAATTTCCCTCTGGGATTATTAAAGTATTTCTGATTCTGATACATCCTATTTCTTGTCTTCTTCATCTAATTCTTCTGTCCCTTCTCATGTGTTTCTTCTTTGTCCTGTTCCTTCTTAATTAATTAGAAAATTAATTCCATTTTATTGTCATTACACTGTCACAAGTACAGAGCAACGAAACGAATTCCATGCATTCAACCCATTTCCTTGGGGAGCAGTGGGCTGCCATTGTGCGGCCCGGCGAGCAGTGTGGGGTTAAGAGTCTTGCTCAGGGACCCAGAGTGGCAGATCGAACTCACAACCTCAGGATTCAAAGCCCTATGACCTACTCACTAGGCCGCCACTCACCCTTCTTACTCATATAGCTGGCATTACCTACAAACACTGACATTGACCTTCCAGATTTTACTTTTTTTTAAATTATTATTTCAACACAGACTTTCTCCTGAAACATGTTATCTTTAGCAATAAAGATATATTTTTATTGACTGGCATTGATATTATTTAATTAAGCAGATTGACGACATATGCAAGTAGGAGTAATATTGCTCATATGCTGCCTTAAATGTTCTGTGTACTGTAAATACATACAAAATTCAAGCAGACTATGTGCCAAGTCTCGTATGGGATGACGTTGGAAAAAATATTGTTGTTGAGATCTTGCATATTTCATAAACAATAGATCTTAAAGATTTATTATTTATTCTTTTAACTTAGTTCTATACAACTTCAAAATGCATCTTCTTAAAGCCTGTGTTTTATGAACCACTGATATTCAAAGAGAGAATGTTATCTGCTAATAAGATAAAAATGAAGGTCCAGCATCCTCTAGATCAGGCCTTAAGGTCCCAAGTCTAGCACCTTTTAGAGGTCTCTTTGCTTCAACACACCTAAGTCGAAGTTGTTAGCAGGACTCTGAAGAACTTTGCTTGATCCAGATATCTCAAACTTTACCTCCTACCTCTTGTTCCTAGTTCCAACATAATGTCTCTTGAAAAAAACGTGAAGATGATAAAAACTTACTATGAACTGGGACTGTTGCATTGCCAGTGTGTAGGGTGTAGAGTGACTAATTGAAATGTATTTCAGCTTTCTGAAACTACTGTTAATCATATATGTATCAACTGATTTCCTTAGAATTACCTTGAGTTTGCCAACATACAAACAGGTCACATGGATTATGGCCTACATTGAATTTCAAAGGAACTGAGACCCTTCAACTAGCTGTATCTCTCTATCTGAAAATTTCAATTAGCTGCATCTCTCTAAAGGAATAAA